CCCCCTCTCTCTTTTGTCCTAGGGATCAAACCCAGGGCTTTATGCATGTAAGGCAGGCACTCCAACAACTGAGCAATGTACCCAGGCCTTGATTAGTTTTTGACAAGTAATCAATTGAAGTAACTTTTTTTTTCCCTGAATGCATAGAGTTGGAAGGAATAATCATCTCCTATCATAGAGTTTATCATCAAATACTCTACATTCCTCATTTTAACTAATTAATCCAACTGGTGATAAAGTTCTTTCTGATAATATTGTGTTTTGTGGAATGCAAAATAATGTTTGCCTAAGAATAGTCTATATGCTTGAATATTTGCTGTGGAATTAAAAAAATATTTAAAATTCTTAGGTGACAAGGACCCATCGACTTGATTTTTCATATTTGTTTGTATGCACAAACTCATTTTATCAGTTAGTACCACAGTCCTCAGGAACCAGAAGATGGTTTGTAAACTTAGGAGGGAAGGTGATTTCTACCTTGAGAGTTGGGTCAGACCCTAAAGAATCATTACTTGGGTCTGCCTGGAATTAATTAACTCGGTCTCTCAGATTTCCTTGGACTGGATCCATAATCAACCACGGTTGGCTTCTTCTGGAATTAGCTCCTCGGGACTCTTCCTCCCAAAGAAAATATGTCATGGGGCGGAGGACCAAGACTTTACAAGCAAAGGGAATTGATGGCCACATCCTTAGTGCCATAGTAAAAAATACTCAGAGGGTTTCCACTTGGTTTATGAAACACTAATATTTATTTTCAGAGTCAGTGGTATTATTTTACTAACTCTATCAACCCTATTGGTGAAATGAATTAAATAGAAGTCAAATACTAAATCACATTCATTTAAAATAAAAATTGGGTCTTTGTTCTTATTAGTAGCCCACAATCTCCTGTACCATCTTAGAGATCATGTGATATTTTGTAGTTTAATGTACAAGCCTCCTTTTGATTGAAGTATAACTAATAGTTTCTATATTTGAAACAGGAGAATGTTTTGCAAATAGTGCATGTTTACATGATCAGCAAGAGTTTGGTTTGTGAAGCTGGGTAGGGTCCTTGGAAAATGAGTCTCAGGGATATGCTTCAGATCATTTTGTCTGGGAGGGCCAGGCATGGTTTAAATAGTACTTTTCAAGTATATTTGGATTCAGAATTAAGTGGCATCTAGCGTGCAGAGAGACAAGGGCATCTGTGAACTAGATGTGGTGGGACAGAAAAGGAAAGGCAGTGATGACTACTTCCCACTGTTAACAGAAAATAAGGCTCAGAATGAGAGTCACCTAGTGATGCCCCTGTCACCACAGCTTCTCCCTAGTGGTTTTTCTCTAACTTGCTAGTACCATCTTCCTCTCAGTCACAGAAGGTCTGGGCTTCTCAGGCTTGGAAACCCCAGGCCAACTTCATTTCTTGAAGCCTTAGGCATGTGAAAAAATAAAGAGGAGTCCAAATAAATATGTGGCAAATTTAAAGTCTGTTGCTTAGCAAGTTGAGGCATGTATCATGCATAAAAAACCAGGTACTTCATTTTGCCTTTTGCAAAAAGTTTTAAGGATTTACAAAAATGTTGTAGGCCCACTGTGCTTGCTGGGAGCTTGGCTTAGTTATGGGACACATGTTTATAGACACGTGGAGAATGTCTCTGTCTTTGGGCTACCTTGGGCTTTCTCTAGGACAGCCTGTATAATGCCATAGTTCTAAATATGAGACCCTTTGTGGCTCTGAGGTCCATCTTTTGGAAAGTGTTTTAGGGAAGGGATGCAGGGCTGTGTCAAAGTGGATTTAGTTTTCTTGTATCCTCAAAGCAGGACTACAGTTGGTAAAAACATTTTGAGTTGGGGATATTTTGCTAGCCTGCCTGGTTTTTCTAACACATCTAAGCTGTTTTCCCATTTATATAGCTGTATAGTGAGTTACTTCACTTCTCAGAGCCTCTGATACCTCTTTCATTCATATATATATATTTTTTTGGTGGTGCTGGGAATTTAACCCAGGGCTTTGTGCATGCTAGGCAAGTGCTCTACCACTGAGCTACACCCCAGCCCCATTACCTTGTCTTAAAAGATGAAAAATAACAATTATATCATAATTATAATCATTGTTCATGTGTTTTTTGGATACAGCTATCAAAACCCTTAGCACATCACTGACATGTAATAAATAATGTTCCAGATAATGCACAATAGCAATATGTTACTTTTGTTTGCTGTACTATTCTTCCTTTCCCAATATCTACTTCCTTTCTTATTCTTTGGCTTATACAGAAAATGCAGACCCATGAGAAGACTGCATGTTTACATCTCTAGGCAAAAATTTTAATAGACAGACTTTGGAAGACATAGAAAAAATTGCTCATTGAGGTTTTATAATATGCAAGCTCCATGGAAACCCATGAAGCTCCCCAGACTCTAATGGAGCTGCTCAGATTTTACTTTTGTCTCTTTGTAATTAACTTTTATTTGTTTCTAAAATTTTTATGATTAAAAAAAAATACCCCAAACTTGAAAACCACTTCTCTAAGGGCAGTGGATAGGAAGGAGCCACATCCGCTGTTCCTTCCTTACAAAGACTCACACGCATGTATGCAGATGGGGAAGACTTTGGCCAATAAATGTGATATTTTGTAATCTGTGGCATTTGGTTTCTAAGAAATATGGGAAAAATGATTTATGACCAAGAACCCTTCTCCATATTCTGTTCTCAAGAATGCAGGGTTACCGCTGCCTGTGGGTAGATGTCTAGTGTCAGGTAGTTAGAGTTGAAAGGAACCTTGGACATTGTGTCAAGTTCATCCCCCCAAGATGCCAGTCACCTTGCGTAATCACACAGAAATGGGTCTTGGCAGAATCCAAGCTGTTGAGCATTTCTTGTGCCAGTGTGCCCTGTTGCTTTCTAAGGCGATTATTTTACTGGCTCAGTGGTAAATAGGCAGAAAACAAGCAGGCCTTAAACCACTTAGCCCCCCAAAATACCAAGTCACGTATTCTGATTTTCTACCCCTTATGTCCAAGAGGCCTCAAGGCATAAACCCATAACCATTGACCCAAAGCTCCCCCAAGTTTGTAGATGGAAGTATTGGAGATAGGCCCCAAAGAGCCAATGCACAAGGGCAAAGGGCTGGAGCAGGTATGTTTCCAAAGAAGAAGTACAAAGGACTGAGTTGCTCATAAAAAGATGCTCAGAATCACAAATCACTAGGGAAATGCAAATCAAAAACACAATGAGATAGCATCTCATACTCATTAGGATGGCTACCAACACAAATGCAGAGAATCTAGATTTGTTGAGGACAGGAAACTGGAGCCTGTGCTCTGCTGGTGAGATGCGAAGTGGGAAGCACTGTGAGAAACAGCAGGGCAGCCTCGAAAAATCAGACAGAGTACTGCCATAGCATCCAGCAGGACTTGACAGCAGGGGCTCTGAGAGGTACTTGAACATCCGTACCCATGGCAGCCAGCGTCATTCACAGTAGACAAGAGGAGGAGTCTAGGTGTCCACTGAAGGAGGAGTGGATGAGCACACTGAGGCACGTGTAATGTGTGCAATGGAGTACTACTGAGCCATAGAAAGGAGGAAATCCCGACCCCTATAAGAGTGGGGATGAACCTCAACCCTGGGCTCTATGAATGGGGTGGCTGCACCACTGTAGCTGCACCAGTGCCACTAACCTCTACAGGTAAAGATGGCTAGAAGGGCAAATTTTGTATTATGTCTATATTGTCACAATAAAAACATAAACATCTGAACAGTTTCAAAAATGGAGTCAAAATGAAAGCATAGTAAAAAGTGAATGTCTTCTTGAATGAGTATTGCCTTGCTGTGAGTGAGTCCACCAGGTGCAGTCTAATGCCAAAGTGGCCTATTCTAAGGTAGCTAATGAATGCTGAGTTAGTAGGAGTTTTCAGTGCATTGCAAATTATTTGTTGATTAGGTTTTTCTTTTCTTTCTAATGAGATAGTGCGTATTTTCATTTAGGTAGCCATTATTTTGTGTGTTGTTTCAAGAAAGGAAATAATACTGCTTTAGGGGTCCAGGAGCAATCTTAGGCACTGTGTGTTTAGGAAACTACAGGAGAGTGGGGTGGGGTCAGGTGCCACTCATTTGCCCTCTGTCATGTATTAAGCCACTTAGTCTATAGACTTTCACTGGTGCAGCTGCTTTTTGCTTTGGTTTGAGGTCAGGGTCTCTAGATTCTTGTTCTGCCTCAACAGTTTACTGAGAAATGGGACTTTGGCCAGTGGCTTCTCTCTAGAACTGAGAGACAAAAATCACAGCCCTGTAGACTTCACACGTCGAGTGTGAAAAAATGACAGTAACATAATAAATACATAAAATGACAGATCATAAGTACCATGAATACTGACAGTGTGGGGTTGGAGAATAAGAGTGGTGCACTCTGGTGGTGATGCATTTATGTAGGGTGTGGGGTAGGCTTTACCGAGAAGAAGAATTTGAACAGATTTGATGGTGGCCAAAGAGTGACCCATGAAATATTTGGGGAAACTACTTTGAGCAGAAGACATGTCCCTGAGGTAGGGCATGCCTGTGTGGCTGCAGTGGGGTCAGCCAGAGGAAGAATGGATTATGACATCGGAGGCCCTGAGAGGCATGCTGAGTAGGGCTTTTAGGCCATTGTAAGGGTCTGGCTCTCCCTGGAGAGAGTATTTTGAGCAGGAAAGGGTCCTTTCTATGACCAAAATATATCTAGCTCTTTCATTAATAGCAGATTGTAAGAAGCAGTGGTTGGAAATAGTTGTTACCATTTTACTAAATGTGATCCACTTAAAATTCCACTAGTCCGCCACAGTTTTTTAAAAAATAAATTGAGTATCTTGAAGGAAATTAAGTATTTCTAATGAAATTTAGCTGCCTGAATTGTTTTCTAGCGCATAGACTAGTGTGCCATAGAGTGTCAGAAATTAGGCATCATTGAGGTCTGCCGTAAGAAAAGATGAGATATTGAAAATTAGGAATTAGACATCCTACAAATTTCTAATGAAAAGGTTATTAAAAAGAGCTCTTCTGCAGTGTTTCAGGTGACCTATTGACTGACGAAAGTGACCCTCTTCCCCCTCTGCAGATCAAATTTCTATTACTTAGGCTACGATTTAAAAATTTGTCCAGAGGGAGGGGACCGCACAGAGAGGACACAGGGCAGACAGGGGGAGGGGTCGTACAGGGAGGAGGGGTGGGTGGGGTCAGGTGTGAGGGGGCGGGGTCTCAACGGGGAGGACCGGGAGAGGGATTGCAAAGGGAGGAGGTGGGTTGGGGTCAGGGGTTGAGGGTGGGGGTCTGAACAGGGAGGACAGTGGTGGGGTCTACATTGAGAGGACAGGGGCGGGGTCTGCGCGGGGAGGACCTGGAGGACTCAGCGGGGCGGCCTGCGCAGGGAGAGGACCCAGCAGCGCTGCTCTGCCCAGCTGCCTTGGGCCCTCAGGGTCGTGTTGGCTGGCAGCTGCCAACAATCCCAATGGCAAGACTGGGCTGTCTGAACCCTGGGAGCCCATCTTAGCCATGCGGGTTTCCTGTGCTCTGGGTCTTACTTATGAACCACTGTGGGGAAGAATTTATGTAAACTATCCATTCCCTGGGATTAAGGGGTGCTCGCTCCCAGGTTCTGGGCAAAGCCGCAGTTCCTGGGTGGAGCGGTAAGCGCAGTGTGCTGGTGAGGCCGCTGCCTCTGACTGCTGGCCTGCGGGGAAGCCCGGTTCTGCCATTCCTGGAAGAAGTAGATACTGTATTCCTGGAGTAGATACTGTATTCTTTGTTTATGCAGCAATCTTAGCTTACATTTTTTAAAAAATTATGTCAGCAAACCTAAATTACTATGGAAAATGTGGGAAAAACACACACATAAAAAGGGAGGTTAACAAAAAACAACCTAGCCAGACCCCTGTAATCCCAGCTGCTGGGGAGACTGAGGCAGGAGGATGGCGAGTTCAAAGCCAGCAAAAGCAAGGCACTATGCAACTCAGTGAGACCCTGTCTCTAAATAAAATACAAAATAGGGCTGCGGGTGTGGCTCAGTGGTCCTTGAGTTCAATTCCCGGTACCCCGCCGCAATCCTCCCCCCCCCCCAAAAAAAAAACAGCAAAAAATATGAGAGAACCATGGCAATGTTCTATGCTATTGTTTTTTTTTCCTTGAAATGTAAAAGTAAACATGAATGATGTTTCAAGTTTTTGGAGCCCCCCCCAAAAGAAAGTTAAGTCTTAATCACATCTCCCTACCTACACGTGTGTATATTCCTATTCATATATATACATGATAAATACATATTGTAAATACTGAAGGCATAAAGGCAACTCTGGCAGTAAGGAAAGGGGAGAATCTGGTTTATTTTATATATAGGTAAAATGATATAAAATATGTAAAAATTTTAAATAAAAATGATATAAAGAAAATCCTTTGTTTATATCAAAACCTGAACTGACCATCAGTCTCTGGTGGCATGAATTTGCATTTGCTGGCGGGCACTGGGAGGTGTTCTTTGGGCTTAGCACTGTCAATAATGAAGGCATGTGGTTACTTACTCAGTTGGAACCGGTCTAGTTTCTTTTTAACTTGGCAGCCATGCCTGCTAGAGAGCTATGCGGTTTCTCTAGTGCTTGAATCAAGTCTAGCTTTCTTTTCTTTTTTCTAGAGGCCAGAGGTTTGACATTCTTTTTGGTTCTCTGTGTGATTTGGTATAATCTCTACTTAACAGAGAGTGAACTCTCTTGCACCATTTTGATTCTGTCCTTGTCCAATCAGCATTAGAAGTGGAAGTTTCTGGTATACTCAGGCTGGTAAAGGCACCAAACGTGTTGAGATTTAATCTCAGAATCATTATTTGCAAAAGTTCTGAAAAAAAAATAGCCAAATTACGTATAATACAATGGTTAAAAAATATAATAGGAAAAAGAAAACCCAACTCATTGAGATTTCAAAGCAAAACAGTTCAGAGTCCACCTTCGAGAACGGCATTGGTTTTCAAATTGCACTTTTTACAAAGCACAAGAAGTTAGATATGGTTTTGCACCACAAGGAGGCTTTAGGAA